CAAGAATTGAAGAAACAATACGAAGCCGCAAGATTGGAAAAAATGACCAAATATCAAGGTGTTAACTTGTTTGTCAAGAACTTGGATGATTCTGTCGATGATGAAAAATTACAAGAAGAATTTTCTCCATTCGGTACTATTATTTCTGCTAAAGTCATGAGAACCGAAGATGGTAAGTCAAAGAATTTCGGGTTTGTTTGTTTCTCTACTCCAGAGGAAGCTACCAGAGCTATCACTGAAAAGAACCAACAAATTGTTGCTGGTAAGCCATTGTACGTCGCCATTGCTCAAAGAAAGGAAGTTAGACGTGCTCAGTTGGCCCAACAAGTCCAAGCTAGAAACCAAATGAGATACCAACAAGCAACTGCAGCTGCAGCTGCAGCTGGTATTCCAGGTCAATTCTTGCAACCAATGTTCTATGGAGTTATGCCACCAAGAGGAGTTCCATTCAACGGTCCAAACCCACAAATGTCGGGCGTTCCTCCACAACAATTTAGAAACGGACCAGGCGTTTATGGTATGCCTGCTCAAGGTAGTTTCCCACCAAATGATCAATTTTTCCAACAAAAGCAAAGACAAGCTTTAGGTGAAGAATTGTACAAAAAAGTTTCAGCCAAGACCTCTGATGAGGAAGCCGCTGGAAAAATCACTGGTATGATTTTGGATCTACCACCACAAGAAGTAATGCCATTGTTAGAAAACAATGAATTATTTGAACAACATTTTAAAGAAGCCTTCGCTGCTTATGAATCTTTCAAGAAAGAACAAGAACAGCAGCAACAACAGCAACAATAAATACAATCATAATCGATTGTAATGTTATATCACCCTCGACACAAAGGTTTGCAGATCTAGATATCTCGCTCTGATTTTATCTTTTTAGTTTTTAGTTTTTTTTTAGTTTTCAGTCTCTTTTTATTTCTTTATCTCTTATGTATCTGTCTGTTAACAGTTCCTCTTTTTTCTTATTTCACATTTATTTATTTATTATTCGACCAAAATATTTTCAAATCATGAACAACAACAACAACAACGTCCAATCACCAATACGATAAACACAATTAGTGTCGTCATCGATCAAAGATAGATCTTTTACTTGGCAGACAGGGGAAAGGGGCCCTATCCATAGGGAATGGATAAATAGGAGATAAGGAAAGGGATTAGGCGATTACCCGCACTTGCGCATAGTATCTATAAGGAGAAATTTTAATATAAAGTATCAATCATCCAAAGATGTTTCAATAACAGTTTTAAGATAAGTTTAAATGAATGGAAGCACTCAAATAAGTTTTTGAACAAGCCTGGGATTAATAAATCTGACGTCTCTATAACTAGTTTAAGACAGGATATCTGATCGTGATTAATTTTGTTTCCATTTTTTTCAAAAAAGTTTTTTTTCACTTTTAAGTCCAAACAGATCCTAGTGTGTACCTCGTAAGAGATAGGATAAGAATATATCACATATATATATATACTTATACATATATCATAGAATAATAATGTCATCCTTGCCCAAGAGAATTATTAAAGAGACCGAAAGACTAGTCAGCGACCCAGTTCCTGGCATCACAGCTGAACCTCACGATGATAATTTAAGGTATTTCGAAGTTACCATTGAAGGGCCACAACAATCTCCGTATGAAAACGGTGTATTTGATTTAGAACTGTTTTTACCTGATGACTATCCAATGGAGGCTCCAAAAGTCCGTTTCTTAACCAAAATATACCATCCTAATATCGACAGACTAGGACGTATATGTCTAGACGTATTGAAAACAAACTGGTCTCCAGCTCTACAAATAAGGACTGTTCTGTTATCGATACAAGCACTACTAGCCTCCCCAAATCCAAACGACCCCTTAGCAAACGATGTAGCCGAGGATTGGATCAAAGATGAATCAAGCGCCATAGACAAAGCAAAACAATGGACTCAACTCTACGCTCAACCAAAGAAGTAATCAAGCATAACTAGTCCCACTTTTATTTATTTATATTTTATTTTATTTCATTCATCTCTTACTTCAAAAGCATCTCACTTCTCTTTTCTCCTCCCCACCACTTCTCCAAAGCTACCTAGTATAATTCATTAAATACTCTTATATAATTAAAATTATAGCAATACAATACAATACAATACAATACAATACAATACAATACAATACAATACAATACAATACAATACAATACAATACAATACAACAAACTACAATTACAACCGATCATTCCCAAACCATCTGATCACAACATCCCAGTAATCATCGATGAGTGAAATTTTTCATCATTTTTTACCCAACCGAAATTTCACTGCCTCTTAAAGGCTTCGGTTCGAAAGTTTGATATCAAAATTTAGGTCCAAGGCAAAAAAAATATCGAATTATTGACAAGTTTAAGTTTATCAAACTAGATCAAAATTTTTTAAAAGTCATATATTTTAATTTGTTAAGGTTTAGAGAGCATCAGCGATCTATATTTCTGCTATTTGGGGGGTTGTTTTAGGTTTCAAGAGTCTGATAAGGTTAAAGTTATCTTGTTATTTTTTTAACTTTTGAGTGGTTTATTATTAGCTTAATTTTTCCCTATTTATCGGAATTTTTTAAACTATTGGTTTCAACAGTCTTTACTGATAGATTAAGATTGCATTGTTGGTGATTGATTATATTATTAGTGAGTACACGAGAAGTGGTACTGTTGTGATCTTTGTTTTTGACTGTAGGTTGTGTTAGCTGTCGCTCTGGTTTATATTGATATTGAACTGGTTCGAGGGAGAGTTTTTGAAGCAGATACGTCATTAACTTAACTTCACTTGATCTAGAAAACAGGAAGATAAAAAAAATTTTTTTTTCCTAAATTTTTTTAGTTAAAAGAAGTGGTTTGGCTTAAGTTGTCGAGGAATACATCAGTTTCCAACGATTGAAGGTTCATTAATCTATTTTTTTCCCTGATCTCCACAGTGACATTTATTGATCGATTTATTTGAAATTTTTTTTTTTTCATTCCTTTCACTTTTAATTACTAAAACTTAGTTTTAATTTTTGAGGGGGGGTTTTCACATTTTGCATTATAGATATAGATATATATATATACTGATATCAGATGTCTACCAATCCCTTTGAAGATGATACTTCAAAAAATCCAGTTTCTCCATTCGACGACAATTTCCAATTTGAAAATGATCTAAGCAGTGGTCCTCATGTAAATTTCGATTTTGAAGGTAACAGTAGGGATAGAACAGCTGTGAACTACGATACAGATACAGGAAATGGTTCCGACATGAAAGATGTGAAATTCGATGATGGTGAAAATGACTTGAGTTTTGAACAAGGCGACACTCATTCATTCGAAGCTACTCCGAATATTCATAGAAATTCAGGAACTTTCGAAGACATTACTTTACAAGATGATGGGAATAATAGAATGAAAAGATTACGTTGGGGTACTCACAGAAACAAAAGAGGTAACCCCAATGTCGGTAGAGCAAAAACTTTAAGATGGGCTAAGAAGAACTTCCAACAGCCTTTTGAAGAATTTATTGGTATGGAAGATAGTTTGGATGATGCTGTTACTAAAAACCGTGCAGATGAATTAAGAACTGTGTATTTTAATTTACCATTGCCAAAGGATATGTTGGACGATGATGGTAATCCTATAACAGAATACCCACGTAATAAGATTAGAACTACAAAATATACACCTTTGACTTTTTTCCCAAAAAACATTTTGTTCCAATTCCATAATTTTGCAAATATTTATTTCTTGGTGCTAATTATTTTAGGTGCTTTCCAGATTTTTGGTGTTACTAATCCTGGTTTCGCTGCTGTGCCGTTAATCGTCATTGTCTGTATCACTGCTTTTAAGGACGCTTTCGAAGATTCAAGACGTACGGTCTTAGATCTACAAGTTAACAATACTAAAACCCATATTTTAGAAGGTGTTGTAAATGAAAACGTCTCAGCTGATAACGTCTCATCCTGGAGAAAGTTTAAAAAAGCAAATTCTAGATTGCTATTCAGGTTTATCAACTTTTGTAAGGAACAATTAACAAAAGAAGGTAAGCATAGA